GTCCAGACCTGTCGTGTATTTTACGAGCAGTCAGTCTGCTGTTATCCAGATGGATTTTTCTCACTGATAACTTCATATTTTATCAGTTTGAAGATATTTTGAGTTGAAAATAAATCACACTCCATAATTATGTTGACAGTAGTTTATTCTGTTTGAACTGGAATTAGATTTTAAATGTAACTAACAACACAAATTGGTTAGATTAAATTGAATTGGCTTTTAATGCTGTTATATAACACAATATTAATATAAAGAGCTCACTAACCTAAACTGTGCATTAATTGAAGTTTGGAGACATTTTAAAATGCGTCTCTTCAGAACCGCATCTGACACTTGCGACGGTCGGGAGGGGGGAGATGGCCAGGGGAGGGAGGGGGTAGCAGTGCATGACTGCCCTTCTTCTGAATAAATAAACTATGTAACACAGGTGTTTACACTTAAATTAAAAATATTTGACCAAAGTAAAACCGGAGCAGGACTAGAGAGAGATGAATATGATTTAGATTTTATTTTTGTGACTGTATATATGACCCACAGGAGACACGGCATTAGCAGCAGTAGTTATTTCATTCCATTCTTTGGCTTTAGCTGATCCTTTAAGTCCACGACTGACCCTGCTAAAAAGGACAGATTTTCTTTTCTCGACCTCGGACAGCAGGACTTCAATCTCTGAACTCGTAAAGTTCTTCTTTTTACTTTTCACTGTCATTTTCATGAATGAACACTTCCTGGTATCTGAGGCAGGAAACTATATGGTGCTTTTGGGGTGGTCATTATGTTAATCTCTCCGCGTGCACGAGCAGCTGGATACGAGCTGGTGGAAATTACGCAGCTCATTTACACACTTTTCCTGAAGATAGAAGAGTTTGTTGAATCTGATGTGGCACATGTTCGTACGAACACTTGGTACGAACAAAAGTAAGAGAAATTTAGGATAAGAATATGAACATGTTCTTGCTTGAGGCCCAATGTTTTTCATTTTCAGACACCATACTGAACCAAACCATGGCATACTTTGAATAAAAATTTAAAAAAGTTGGGAAGGCCCTCTGGATGGGTTCTTTGTTGAAAAAACTTTTCATCTCTTCTCCAAGAGACTTCTACAGTCTGAGGAGCTACAGGTAAACTCAGCCTTATGAACAAACAGTTTTGATTGTCATCATTAAACCTGTTTGTCCACCATGTGCTGCTTATAAGGCTGAGTTTACCTGGAACTCCTCAGACCGAAGAAGTCTCCTGGAGGCGAGACGAAACATTTTATCAACAAAGAAGAACTCGTCCAGAGGACCTTCTTAACTGTTTTTTAGAATGTTCTACCTGAATTATTGAGATGCATCAGGACTTGATGTTTATTGTTAGGGGTGTCCCGGTCCGATATTGATATCGGATATCGGTCCGATATCTGCCAAAAGACGAGRATCGGATTTTATCGCCCTGCATAAAAAATGTCRGATATAAGCAGTCCCAGGAAGTAGTCCAATCCAGCAGTCCACTGACTCTGCTCCAGTGCTTCTATCCAGCAGCGCTTGGATTCAGCYTGCACAGTAACGTGATCACAACTACAGTACATGCTGCGCTAACAAAGTAGCAAGCAGTAGGAGCGATGTCGGCAGTACTTTCTATTTTCATCATAAACAGAGTTGAAYCTAAGTGCAAAGTTGTCACACACGACTTTTCCGAGGGGGAACAGAACCGTGAACGTTTTAAACCGGAGCGACAACCACTCTCCACCCTGGRAGCAGCTTTGGGGTTCAGCTCGGTTCAGCCTAGGTGCAAAGTGCATCCATGCTTRCAACCGAGSAGAAKCTCCTCTCACTCCAGTGGTTCTAGCTGGCAGAAGCGAGGACAGCATGCTTAACGGTTTTGACATCAGCAGAATGTTGCCTGTGGATTAGCTCTGGGATTGACTGACAGAAGAAAGGAGAGCGTAGCTTTTGTTTTGGAATATGAGCGCGACATGACAAGAGCAGTGATAAAAACTGCTTCCTGCAGGAGCGAGAGGTTAATCTCCACATGATGCTCAGACTGTAGAAGGTATTAATAAGTAACTGACTAATTCTTACAATTTATTTTTTGCTCTTGTTTGTAGAGTGATGTTTAATCTGTTTACACACTTGTTTTAGTGAAGATTAAGTGCAATGATCATGCTGTTTTGGTTACAGTCAATTGAATTAATTGCTGACTCTTAACTTTGAACAGACAATAATGTGGGGTTTTGTTTTGTCCCCACCTTCAGTTATTCCCACCATAAAGCAGCACCAGGCTGTTAGATGGTAAAACTAAATAAATAACTGGAAAAAAATTTGAATTGCTATTTTACACTTTAGAAGTACCTTTTGTTTTTAATATGTTTTATTTTCAGGGTATTGTAATTTATTTTATTTATTAAATTGTAGAATGTTCTTCAGTTCAAAATGTATGTGATCCATTGGTTAAAAATAAATGGGTCAATTTTTCTCATACCTACTTTTTTTCACTGTTTGACTTGATCAAGACTTTTCCAAGATTTTACACTACAAAATAGGTAAAAGTGTGTGATTCGTACTGATATGGTATCGGGTCAATATTGGTATCGGACAATTCTCAAAGTTGCAATATCGGTATCATCTCGGAAGTGAAAAAGTCATATTGGGACATCCCTATTTATTGTTCAAACTTTGTAGTGAAATTGATTTTTTGAGTGTAATTCCTAAATTGCAAAATACAATTTTATACTAATGTTGAAAATTTAAAATCACCTTTTGAAATGTTTTCAAGGAATTCAAAACAAAAACAATGTGCCTTCACTCTGTAGAATATTCATAGAGATTCGCTGAATTACAGCACAACACATTAAAAATGGATCTCTATGAATGTAAGCTTCAAAACTGACTTCTGAATTTTTTTTCTTTCTAGTTTTTGTTTTGTTTGTTTACTCACCATAAACATCAAGCCACACCGACTTTGTGCTGGTCCCCTTTTCATTCCTAGCTTCACACTTGTAACTTCCAGCATCTTCTGGCCGCACTGCCACTATTCGCAGCGTGGCACTGCGTACGTGAGTGTAGTTCTCCATCAGAATACGTGAAATGCCATCGACCTTTGCTGGTTGCTGTGGATACCAGACGGCACCCTGTCAACGCCCAGAGATCTCCAGAGATTAACCCCGAATGCATGTCTATCCTTTGCCAAGCAAATACTGACAGACACACAAAAACACTTGCATGCAAACACATATAGTACACACAGTCCATTCCACATARACAGTCCACAAACAGCCAGGGTTCCTATGCACATGGATTGTTTCACTCCTGCACATCTGAACATAAAAACAGCAGAAGAATGCTCTGCTCTCACAGACATGAAACCAGTTTTGGTAAAGTCCAGTGTGTCTATAGCAAAGCTAAAACAGAGGTGTCTCACCGAGCCAGGTGGTATCACCCACTTCAGAGTGATTTCTCCGTTCACGTTAGTGGTGTTGCAGGAGAGAGTGAGACTCTGATTCCGGACTAGAATGACTCTATTGGACTGCTTCATCTCAATTACAGGAGGAGCAGCAGGTACTGAAAGATAAATCCGTGTGGATGTAAACTGGACTGGACTCCAAAACACCGCATCCCCCCAAAATAGCTCCACAAAAAGTTTTAATAAGAGCTGTTCATTCAAGAATCAACATGAATTACTTGTCTTACCTGGTTTCACAGTCAGGTGATAGGGATGGGAGCTGACGGGTTTCTCCTGGAGCAGCCCTGTGCACACATAGCAACCTTTGTACACCTTCTGTATGTTGGGGATGATGATTCCATGCTCCAGGCTTGCAGAGAACTGAAGACCAGAGGGGAGTGGTCCTCCAGAGCATGTTTTCAGACTCAGATTGATCAGACTTGGGTCGGTTGCCAGGCAGGAGATGGAAGCAGCGTCTCCTTCGCGGGTTAGAATACTGGACACCATTGATTTTCTGAACGGATTCTGAGGATCTGCCAAAAAAATGTAAATGCACAGGTGGTGTCAGAGAGCAAGGAGCAGGGCTTCATACAGTATGTATGGGGTGCTCGGTCAACGATAGCCATGTGATGTGAGTATCAGTCACCTGGAGGCAGGGCTTAAAAGCCTGAATTTTGCCTGAAACTCTCAGACTGAAGAAGTCTCTTGGAGGAGAGACGAAACGTTTCATTAGAGAAGAACCCGTCCAGAGGACCTATACAATTTTTTTCTTTTTGATTTTTTACCTGGATTACTGAGATGCATCAGGACGTCTTCTGAAGATGCTCTGTGTTGAAGGA